AGCAACCTCGAACTGGGCCTGCGGAGCCAGCAAGGCCAGGCGTGCGTGGCCTGGGGCCCAGGCCAAAAAGGAGTTGCATCAGTGTCTTTGTCTTGATGTTCTATAGTGTAGCCATGTCAAAAGCATAGGTTTTGCCCATCCCCCCCCCCCAAAAAGTGTTTTGCCCCCTTGGGGCTGACCCTGCCCATGGAAAACGTCTGCTCCCGACTCCCAGCTACAGGTGGCCACTACCATGCTGTCCTACGTTGTCCTGTAGGAAGAAGACAAGTTGCCCTTTCCCCACCCCCAAAATTACAAAAGGAACATGGGACCAGGGACAGCCCTGGACCAGCCAGGCTGAGGCCAAGGAAGGCATTTCTACTGCTTTGGGTCTGGCTGGTCTTCATCTACCAAAGAGGAGTAAGTCCCAGTGCCAACCATAGTGCCTGGCATTAAACGCTTCTCCGTCAGGAAATACACGAGTGAATACTAAATGTGTGCAAAGTGAGAGGTAGTATAGACTTGATTCATCCTCGCTTAAAACTCAGGGAGCGGTTCTCCTTAAATATTTTATCAAGCTCTAAAAATTATTTGCAGCCCCCATTAATTTTTAAATGCATGTCAGAAGAAAATGTTTGCTTTGGCTTGGTGGTGGCCAGAGACTGCCTGTTAATTAAGGCGGCAGAGGCTTCCTGCTGCAAAGGGCCTGCCCCCCTCCAGCCGCCACCCCTGTTGAGTTTTCTTGTAGAGCCAGTTCTGCAAATAGCAACAGAGAGGCACACATTCCCGCTTGGGAGGGCGCCCGGCCACCTCGGGAAGTGTGTGTTGGCTAAGGTGGAGGCTGGGGGAGCCGTCTCCCGTCTCCTAGACACTGTGCAGCCTGCCAAGTGATGACCCAAATTAATTTTTTAATCACTTATAATTCTTTCCATGATTTTTATTTAATACCATTAAGTGATCCATATATTCTTCCCAGGGAGTCCCTGGTGTGTGCTGTCAGGTTTGTCTCTGTGCCACGGCTCGGCTGGGCTGGTTATTTATGACCAGAGTGCGAACTATTGACAAGGTGGAGAGTTGGCTGGAAGGGAGGGGATGTGCACTCACGTGGGAGGGCGGGGTCAGGCAGGGGAGGGGGAGAGTGAAGAGGGTGGCTGAGGCCCTGGAGAGGCCGATAACTGTGGCAAATGCGGGAGAGCATGGTGTGAAACATTCCGTTTTTAAATGTTGGTCACTAACTGAAAATTTTTTTAAAATATGTGAAAAAATATCTGGAAAGGAAAGTTGAACCTCTGCAATGAGATAACCCCTGGGTAGAGCTTTTCTGTGAAGGCCGTAGCCCTGTGGACGGTGAGGACTGCCGTAGCGATCGAAGGAATAACACCTCTGCTTACCACACCTTCTAGCTCATGGGCGCCTTCGGGAAAGCTACGTCATTTGAGCTTCCTGAGAATCCTGGGAGGTCGCTCCGGCTGGTGCTGTTTCGGAGAGAAGCTTCCCAATTCACAGAGACTGTATGAGACTGAGTATCAAACTTCCCACAGTTATCTGGGCCTTGGCAGGCTCGCTTGCTTATTCCTTTGTATCAAGGAATAACACCCAGTTGCCAGTGATCAGCATTTGAGACACACTGTGTCATTAATCCTCCCAATGAGGTATGACCAGCCTCAGTGTAAAGATTAGAAACGGGCACTATGGACATTAATAAGCACGTATCAGGCCTCATGCTAGCAGATTGGCATGGGCAAAGGCTTCCAATGGACCACCTCGTCTTACCCTCATAGCAGGTGTTCTGGGAGGAAACTAGATACTCTGAGGATCCAGTTTTACAGAAGAGAACAGGATTTTTACAGGTGAAATAACTTGCCCAGGGTTGCAAGCCAGTGGGGAAGCTGAGACTTGAATCACAGGCTACCTCTTCCAATTCTTTACCACCGTCGCGTGCTGAGCACCGCTAATGCCCATCCATTAGAGCAACCCGAATGGCATTGCAGGTAATTGACAGTTTGTCTTCCACAACAGCATTTACATGTGGTTCCACCTAATGAGATGCACCTTCCCTGTCTCCAATCATCATAAACTAGTTTCCAGAAACAGGAAACAACAATGGAGGAGTGGATTCTGCGGGGGTGCTTTTTGTTGTGTTTTAGAAATCTGCTAATCATTTATTAACTTAAGAAAGACCCTGGACTTGGAAACGGAGGCAAATCCGCACACATTTGTCAAATTTAGGTACCACTTTTACTTTCTAGACATTTATTTCTGTCATGAACAAGATTTCTAAGTTTTAGCTGATTCTTAAATGACGATGGTTTTGTGAATATTACTTCGGTTTAATGGCCCTGAAAAAGTAATATGATTGTAAAAATATATTCCACACCTTTCAGTGGAAGAATTACTTGTACACATTGCCTTAGTTTAACCTGTAAGTCAGAAATACACATGATGCTTTGATGTGATTGGAAGGAATTGGAATTAAATTCAATAAAAGCTCTACTTTTTCTTCACTATAAAAATTTTTTTAAAAAGTTAGCTTTCTTCCCTAAACCTTTCTGATAGTCTTCGGTTAGTGGGAAAGTCAGCCCGTAGCTGAGGGACAGTGAAGCCGAGTCAGGGCCCTTGTGTGTGCTCCTTCCTCACATACCTGGCAGCCCCTGAAACACACATGGGGCCTTTCCTCTGGCTGGTTCTGGTCCCTGTGCCTTGAAGTTGGAACCTGGAAGGACTGGGGGAAGAGAGGGATACGTCTGTCACCTTCCGTGAAAGGCCACAGAATGTGCGTCTGTGGTCTCCGCCTGTGGCCTCGGGTCCAAGCCTGGTGCCATCGGCCGCGGCCCTTTTCAGTTGGAGGGTTCAGAGTTCCCCCATGACCACCTTGCACCCCCTCAAAGAGAGTGGCTGTGTATATGCATAACGTGGTGATTCAGAAACTATATTAAAGAGATAATACTCATTGAAAAAGTTTTAATTATAAAAATCAAGCTTAAAGAAGCAAATTCTCCATCACTTGTGTCTCATGCAGAAGTTACTGCCTCCTTATCCTTTGTGCTTCTATAATAAAGTGTATGTTTTTTAAATTTTTGTTCTATGTAATTGTGAATTGAGGTTAGACAGTGGGATGAGATCCTTGGAAAGGATCGGGATTTCTTGTGATTTACAGGTTCTTCTTTGCTAAGCCAGAACAGCAAGGCTGGCTTAGGACACGTCTTAAAGGGCTCAGTACACCTGGCCCGCCCGGCTTCCGCTAAAGCCCCGAGATGGGGACTGGATCAGGGACTTCTTAATGTTGATGTTTTTTATCATCCACTCACGGAATAGTATTGATTATAAGCTGTATTTTTCCAGCTTTGGCCATTTATGAATCACCTTCATGATTTTTGTCCATATCTGAACATAATGTCTATATAGTTTTTTTTTAAAAAGCGTACTTTTTAACTTAAATTTTCAAAAGGAAGCTCCTCACTACTATTGCTGTGCTTTATTTAATTGATTAATTTCTTATTCTATACTAGAGTCCTGGTGAAGGAAATTCCTGCACTGGGGGGGGGGGGGCCTTGGCTCCCCACGGGGATTGGGCCAAAGCCAGCAGTCAGACATCCTTAGTGCTGCTGTGCTCACCAGCGTGAGCCTGGCTTCTGGCTGGGTGGCGCTCCCCCTGTGGGAGTGCACTGACCACCAGGGGGCAGCTCCTGCATTGAGCATCTGCCTCCTGGTGGTCAATACGCATCATAGTGACCGGTCGTTCCGCTGTTCGGTCGATTTGCATATTAGCCTTTTATTATATAGGATAGTTGCCTTTTTAAACTGTAGGCTAAAAAAGTCAATTTTAAAAATATTGTTTTTATTTTTTATTTGTTATTTTATTTTTTATCACCATTTATCCCCTCTCTGCCCTCTTCCACTTCCACCCCCCACCCCCCACAATCACCACACTGTTGTCCCTGTCCATAATTTTAAAAGTAACCTTTAAGCCTTAGCTGTTTTGGCTCAATAGATAGAGCATCAGCCCAAGGACTGAAGGTTCCCGGGTTCGATTCTGGTCAAGGCCATGTACCTCGGTTGCAATGTCAATACCCAGCCCTGGTCAGGGTGCGTGTGGGAGGCAACCAATCAATGTGTCTCTCTCACATCGATGTTTCTCTCTCTCTGTCTCTCCCCCTCCCTTCTTCTCTCTCTAAAAATCAGTGGGAAAAATGTCAAGTGAGGATTAACAACAATAACAAAAAAAGTAAGCTTTGTATTACTACCATAATTTACTAATTAGTTTTTTTTCTAGTGCACATTAAAAATATACACACTTATTCAAATTGAAAAGTCCATCCATGTACCACCCAGGAGCACATTCTGGTTGGGTCTTAACCAAACTTTGGGGGAAAGTGGCTGAGAAAAGATGGGTAATTACTAGAAGAATGACGCATAAGGGTTTCCACCGTTGACACAGTTTCTGTTAAAACTTGGCAAGGTTGTTCCCACCCAGGATGACCCTGAGCGCTAAGCCTGCCACTCAGTTAAAGAGGCGCCACGTGGTGTCACTGCCTTCTTTGTAAAACCTGCCCTCGTGAGGAGCCCCTTCTGAAGGGAAGGTGACCTCCACTTGGTCGGCCTTGAGGGTGCAGCCAGTAATGAATTTTTTATGTTCTGTGAGGCGCACTCTCAATTGGACTCAGCATTCTGCTAGTGCATATATGTAAACGGGTGACCAATTGAAATTCCGATGTAATGAGGGTGAAGTGTTGCTATTCAGCGCAGCCGCCTTTGTTTTGAGTCTAGTAAGTTCTTTGCACCAAAACAATGCAGCTTTCCTTCCAGCTTCTGAAATGTCCAGCTGGATACCAACAACATCTTTTCCAACCCATTTCAGAAGCGAAATACAGTCTGTTCTGCGTTTTGTTTTGTTTTGTTGTTTTTTCCAGCTTAAATACATTATTTTAAAATGTGCTGAGACAGTTGGATGTGAAGTCTTGAAAAAAACAACAACAAAGTATTCTTTCTGAAACATGCAAATGTGTCTCTCCGTCGCCTAGGAAACTATTATGGGACACCCAAACCTCCCAGCCAGCCGGTCAGTGGGAAAGTGATCACGACGGATGCCTTGCAAAGCCTTCACTCCGGCTCCAAGCAGTCGACCCCCAAGCGAACCAAGTCCTACAATGATATGCAAAATGCTGGCCTAGTCCATGCGGAGCTCGAGGAGGATGATGGTCCTGAAATGAACAGCAGCTTCACAGGTAAAGCCCGGATGGTGTTCCCTGTCCCCGGACTTGGGGAAAGGGGGTGGTGGGAGGCTTTTTGCAAATTGTAAGGTTTCTGTTCTCAAGAGGAATTAGGAAGGGTCACCAGGATTCACCCTGACCCCTCATGCTGGGGAGAGGTGTCTTTTCCTGTCTATTTATCATGTTGCTTCACAAGACTGTTCTAACTTCACCCAAATATCTGAAAGGGGCTGGAGGGACAGGTTTGTAGAGAAAAACCAGTGTTGTTTCTGCCTCTTGAAAACTATGTGTAGAAGGCTATTTGTATATTGTCTGTTAATTTCCTGGCGTGACACTGTTCCATTGTTATGGCTGACGGCTGACAAAGGGAAATATGAGAATTGGTTTAACAGTTTAGTAACAAGCGATGCCCTTTGGAATGCTGGCACCATGTGCATCATACCTTTGTGAGTAGAGCTAGAGTGAAGATATATCATGTGTCTATTAACATGGGGAAATTTTACATCGTATGCCCGATACGATGGGAGATAATAAATGCCCTGCTTACCTGTTGCATATGCGTTCTGTATCAGATGGCACATATTACTCAGTGCATTACCTACTTGTATATATTCAGGCTGCCAGCCCCCACACTTAGGTAAGACCCCTGTATTTTACGAAGGGGTCTTCAAGGACAGGCCTCTGCATGTGGCTATCCTGTTGGTCTTGCACGTTTCCAGGAAGCACCATTCACAGAAGCTATGATGGATGTTTCCTGGGTTGGTGCAGTGACCTAGAACTGTCCAAAAATACTTTTCACTCTATGGGTGTTTGACCTTATATAGTAACTCAGAACGTAACAACTGCATGTTAGGTGAGTTACTACCGTCTACTAGTATTATGTTGCGACTTTGAAGAATATCTGTTTCTTCTATTTTTCCTATACTTAAATATTTTCTCTTAATATTTTAGGGTTACAGTTCTTTGCAGCACATGAATCTTCCTCTCTCGTATTGACCTCTTCTCACTTCACCCCAGTCAGCCATTACTTGATTAGACTTAATTCAAATAAAGGGGAGATTACTTAAACTGTATTTTCTTCCTTGTGCTACCAAGTGTAATGGAATACACTTGAAGTTGTAGTTTCTTCTGGGCGCAGATCATCTTTGCTAGCGTCAGTCTGATCATGTAAATTCTTAGGGGAAACTTTGTGTTACTTGAATGCTTTCTATAGCCTATATGGGCCTCTCTGAGGTTTTCTCATTTTTTAAAGCTCAAAAACCTAAAATTCCTCAACATGGCAATTAAAAACATTCTTGATGACTTTCTTATCTACCAGTAGCCTGATCCCTCTGCAAGACTCATTGGAAAAAGCAGGAGGAGACCTAGTTTGCTCTCCTAGCTTGCTTCTTAGCCGTTTCTCATTATGAACATAGTATCTACTTCTCACATTTGCAAAATAACCAGCTAGGACTAAGTCATGCCTGTGTTCCCCCTTCCAGCTCTAAGAGTTTGATTCCATGAAAATTGCCATTTTCTCCATTAGAATGGGCTAGGCCAGCGGCTAACTTGTAGCTGCAATAGCTAGGAGAAACTTGCCATCCTTTACATATTGAAATTAGGTTCTTTCAACCAGTTAGAAATAAATATTTTATGGATTTATAGTTAGTAGCTCTCATTGAAATGAAAGCAGATTTAAAAAGTCAATATTTCTTTTGAAAATAGCTAATATTTTAATGCTTAATCTTTCAACAAATAAGAAGAGCAAATCTTGATATAACCCAAAACACAGACGTGGACACAGAAACAGAAGTCCTATGGCGTCACGTGCCGTGAAACAGTCCTGCCAAGCATCTGGGTGGGCCCCAGGGAGCTTGCGCCTTTATTTGTCCTTCATTTCTTAAGTAGATTTCTTGGGAGAAAGCGCATAGGGGTAGTTGACTCTAGGTCTTGATGCCTTTCCTATTTCTAATACTAAAATCTCTGTCTCTAGAAGCCATGCCTCAGAAAATCTGTCCCCATAAAACCTCCACTTGAAATCCTGGCATCAAAAGAAATGCTTTCTACAGCCTATATGGGCCTCTCTGAGGTTTTCTCATTTTTCTTCTGGGCGCAGATCATCTTCGCTAGCATCAGTCTGATCATTAGTTTCTGCACAGAACAGTGGCACCTGATTGTCTTATTCGGATGCCTGCTTTAATGCCAAGAAAGCCGATAGGACGCACAGAGAACTGGCCTCAATATACACATTGATGGGACATCCTCCGTATGTAAGGAATGTGTTGAATGAGTGCCCCCTCACTTACCAAACTACAGCTGTGACGGCTGATAAACCTTCATACACTAACTCATGTAAATTCTTTCAAATAATTGGCACTCCCCGTCTATGATACGTGTATCAAACCAGCTGTGTCAAAGCATCTTGCGCTCTGAACCCCTTTAATAGCAACCCACCAGCCACTTTGAGCATAGAGTGGCAATAGCATAAAGATTGCATGTTAACAGTCTTTCCTGGTGATTCTTATGTACGTGTAAGTGGGGGAAGTGGACATTCCAAAGACATACCAGAAATGAATACATGGTGGCTCCTAGCGAAGTAAGGGTGAATCTTTCCATTCTTGCCAAGTTTTGAATTTATTCTTTATTGATTAGTAATTTCAAAATGTTTCTTCTCTCTTTGCCTAATTTCCTTTCTTCCTTCAAATGTATAGCTGTTAAAGGGAATTTAGGCGGTTGAGTTGTTAAGGAGGCCAAGGGCAGCCTTGATTTCAGGCATGAAAGTCAGTCACAGGTATTAGGTGACTTTCTGTGTCTTTCATCTCTGCTTTCCTCTGTGTCAGGCAGGATTGGCAAGCTGTCAAGAGGGTCACCCAGACCTGCAGTATGAGAACCCATCAGCTTAATGTCTTCAGCATCAGGGGCTAACCTCTTGACTGATAAGAGCTAAACTTTCATGCCTGATGTTCATTGGTTTGCCTTGGATCATATGCCTGATCCAATCACAAATACAAGAGAGACAGGAGTGTGAATTGGGCCCCCTGTGTGATCTAGCAGTGAATTTGAGGCAGTCCCCGGAGACCTGGAATAAAGGGGATGGTTTTTAAAGGGAGGTCTAAGTGGTGGTAGCGGAAGAGGAGAGAGATGCAGAGTGAGGAAAGACCACAGACAGCCTCTCGGTGTGCAGAGGTTTTGGTGGTGGTTTCATAGGTCCATCTCCATCCAGCTTTTGGATTACCTTTGTCATTGGGAGCTGCTAATCAGAAAAGATTTGAAGTATAGCCTTCCATTATTCCTCAGTCTGCATTCAGTAAGTCAGAAATGTCTACAGTACAATCACTATGGGAGATAGAAAGTAACTCCGTCACTGATTTTATGTTTTCCAACCCCATAGAGATTGACATTGGCCTCTATAAAAATTCAACCAGAATGTCAGCATTGCATCTGTGGATACTTTGATGACATCACCTCTTGATGTTTCTGGTTAATAAGAAGGAAAGAGACTCATGTACTTGGAGGCTTCTTTTTAAGACCCAAGTCAAATCCATCCACCTACATAATACTGTTCTGGGAGAACTGTCTTGGTTTTCACGGGAACATTCTCCTCACTTTTTGCAAAAGTGACTCACTGGTGTAACTCTCTGCATTGTAAACTTTTACATACTTTCCAGCTTGATTGGTGAATCTTTGATCTTTGCCACTGTCTACCAAAAATGCTTTAAATAATTTATGCAAAATGGACAAGAATGCCACTATATCGTTTTCATTGTGGACTTCTTTCTCACCTTCAAAAGTCCTCTGAGCCATGAAACCACATGATTCCCCGGAATGACAGTTCAGCTCCTCTGTGTTTTGATGACCTTCTCTTCCTCTTTTCTTTTTTTATGGCCTTTGTAGTTTAAGAAACTTTAGGGTTTGAGTCATGATCTGTTTCTTCTTTGACACTTTCACGATTGTAAGCAGTGTATCATTTGAGCATGTTTTTCTCTTCTTTATTTTTAGGTAAAGTAACTTTGGTCTATCATTTTGATGTTTCTGCTTAAAAACCTTTATCTAAAGCAAACAGAATAGTCAATGGTCAGAAAGGAGGAGAGGGTGAGGGCTTGGAGGTGCAGACAGTGCTTGGTGCTGTGCCTCCGTTTGGGGTTTGATGAATGATTGTCTCCTCTGTCTCTCTCTCTCCCACGACTGCACAGCCGATTCTGCTGATCAGGAAGAGCACAGCCTGCAGGAAGCAACGCTCCCACCTGTGAATAGTAGCCTCATCGCTGCCCCCATCACGGACCCTTCTCAGAAGTTCCCTCAATACCTACCTCTTTCCGCAGAGGATAATCTAGGTCCTCTACCTGAGAACTGGGAGATGGCCTACACCGAAAATGGAGAAGTCTATTTTATAGAGTAAAGTATCCCGTTCTTTCTTCCTGGCTCTGTCCCTGTCTTTCGTTCCCCTTCCTCCCTCTCTCTAGCAGCTACAGATGCAGCATAAATCTGAAAGGACTGATCACAGGCTGGTGGAGTTCTTTATTCAATTTAATAAGCTTTGCACAAAAAAGCAATTAGCATATCATCCTAGTCATTGAGCCTGAATAGCTTGAGGAAACATACAGTCAATAATTTCCTTAAAGAGTTAGACAACTAAATTATGGTGTATATTTAAATTATGGTCTAATATACTAAGAATATATTTAGCCATTAAAAATAGGTAACTCATTTGCTTATTTTCTCTTAGATGGGTTGCAGTTTTCTTTTTGTTGAGTTTTAAGAGTTCTTTATGTATTCTGGATACAATGCCTTTATTATATTTGTCATTTGCTCACATTTTCTCCAAGTCAGGATTTTCTTTTTATTGTCTTAACTGTGTCTTGTGAGGAGCTGGAAGTTCTTGATTTTGATGAATTAAGAACTTACCAATTTTCTAATTTATAAATATTTTTTCTGTTGTGGCTTGTGCTTTTAGTGTACTAGCTAAGAAATCTTTGCTTAACTCAAAGTCATCAAGCAGTCACTTTCTACTATATTTCTTGCAGAAGTTTTATAGCAAATAAATTAACCTCAACCTCCACCTTATACCTCAAACAAAAAAAACCCCTCAAAATAGATCACTGCAGACTTAAGTGTAAAATGTAAAGCAATAAAACTTAGGAAGAAAACACTATAAAAAACATACAGATTTTTTCTAGATTGGGATCTAGGAATAAGCAAAGAAATCTTAGATTTGACATCATACACATGACCCCCTAAAAGGATAAATTCAACTTCATCAAAATGAAAAACTTTGGCTTAAGAAAAGACTCCGAGAAGAGGATAAAGAGACAAACAATAGACTGGGAAAAATATTTGCAAACCCGGCATCTGAAAATTGACAGGCATTTAGAATATATAAAGAACGCTCAAATCTCAGCAGTATAAAAAATAAAAATCCTCTTAGAAAATGAGTTCAATACATGGGCGTACATCTCACCGAAGAGGGCGTCCAGGTGACAGGTAAGCACGTGAGGAAACATTCAACACCGTTAGCTGCACATTAAAGCTACGAAGGTATCATTACGCACCTATTGGGATGGCTAACATAAAAAACAGTAACAACACCACATGATGGCAAAGATGCAGAGAAACTAGATCATGCACGCAGGGCCAGTGGTATGTAAAATTGTATGGCATTCTAGAAAACGGTCTGGCAGTTTCTAAAAAACTAAACCTGTGACTACAACATCACCCAGCAGTTGCACCTTTGAACACCTACATTCACAGGAAAACCTGTACATGGATATTTAAGTAGATTTATTCCAAATAGCCCAAAACTGGAAACAACCCAGATGTCCTTCAGTGGTAAACTGTGGTCCGTTCATGCCAGGGAATACGATTCAGGGCAGTTGGGCAGCGCGTTGACTTCTCCGAGGTTTTTCTGGCCCTGGTGTATTTATGTTAGGTGACTTTGGGTTGCCTTCACCTCGTCTGAATCACAGCGTGGGCCGCTGCCATTAATGATATGCATTAGCTGCCTTGAGCCACTTGCATGAAATGAGGGAGTTTCCCATGGTCATGAGAAGTCTTATGTAATAGAGTGAATGAAATAGCAGCCTCCTGTGTGAATCCCCACGTTCACGATTTAAGTCACAGCAAATTTAAAATAAATTGGGGTTTGCTCTTCAGCAAATGTGAAGACTAAATACGTCTAGTCAGCCGCGGACAATACAGACAAGGGGTGTCATTTGGAACTCATTTTAAAAAAATGAACCTGGGATACCATTTCAGCTCTCAATACTGGGGTGATTATATCTTCTGTTGAGTAAAAAGCCCACCAGAGTCTTTCCCTCGACCACCTCCTAATTCCTAACCGGGGCTCTCTGGTCTGGGTTTGCTGTCGCAATGAATCTGTAGTTGAAGAGCAACTGTTCAAGAATGTAAAGTTTTTTTTGTCACTGAGCTCTCTGCTTTTCCTTTTTAAATCTATTTCTTGTTTCTGTTTCTGGATTTCAGCCATAACACAAAAACAACGTCTTGGTTAGACCCTCGGTGCCTGAGCAAGCAGCAGAAGCCTCTGGAAGAGTGTGAGGATGATGGTAAGGGGCGTGGCAGCTCTCCTTTTAAAGGAGTTCCGTGTTTGTTCCAATCTTAGAGAGTTGTAGCAGAGTCGACCAGTTTTCACAGTGAGTTTTCAAAAGGGAATCCAGTTTCTAGTAAGTGCACTCAGGTTTCCAAAAGCAGAAGGGGAGTCAGTAGACTTGTTCAGAAGAATGATTTGTGTGCACATAAAGGCAGATGCGCAGCTATGTTCCCATTGGAAACAGAACTTTACACAGTCAGGCAGCATTCACATGAAGATACAGCCTCTGCCTCCAGGAGCTTGGAGAAAACTAAAAGAATAGAGAATTGCCTATCGAACCCTAATCCTATAGTATGAAATTCTTAGGGGGGAAATCAGTAGCTTTTCTTAAACTGTCCGTGTTTTATGACTATTATTTCCCCAGATGTTGGTGTCAGGAAAGCAGATCTTGACTTGTTTGGGAATCTCTGTGTAAGTTAGAATATATCCTAAACACCTAAAAAGTGTATTTTTCCAAGAAAGGGGCTGAGGTGTTACCCTAGCCCACTCTCCTCGTTATCTCAACAAAGAATCAACTGGCTAGAAAGGTTACTGTTTTAAAAAGTTTATTTCAAGGCTGTGGGATTTCTAACTGCTTTTCCAAAATGAAAAAAATTAAGACAGAACAAACATGTTCCTTCTCAATACACCCAAGTCTTTCCCAAGCTCTACCAAAATTACTTCTTGGCATGGACGAGTTAAAAGGGAAAGGGTTTGCTTTGCTACTCATTATTCATTGCTGGCATTTGAATTAGTGTCATTATTGAATTAGTATAATTATCTTACTGTAAGATAGTGAACCTTTAGTAATGTGTGCTGTGAGGCAGAATTGTTATGTATACACGTGTTTGAAAAGGTAAGCAGTGAAGTACAACCTATCAGACTAGCATGTACTCCAGGACACTTCACTGCTCACGGGCTGCAGATGACATGGCATGAACGTAGACTTGCATGTTCATATTTATCTGATTGGCTGATAAGGCATGACAGAGATGCCCATTTTATTTGGTTGCTTAGTCCGTTCCTGAAGAAGGAATGGAGCAGGTGTGGTCGCTGCAGTATTTCGCGTGTGTAAGGGCTAATGGACTATCCTGACTATTCACACGTTCAGTGTGACATATAATACAGAGGTGACGGATTTTCAAAGATCAGGACATAATATACATTCAACCGTCAAATGTCATGGAACAAAATTTAAAACTTTACTTGAAGCCTGACGATTCTGAAGTCACTTCAGGCGCTGGTGTTACCATAGGGTCTTTCATGTCAGTATCCATCATAATTACACTGGGAATGTGTGAAAATGCCTGTGAACATAAATTCAGAGGTTGTGGAGAACTCCAATAGTTTTTATTGAGAAAAAAAGTGTTAATGCAGTAAGAGTATTGACTAGAATTACTGAATGGATTTGTTACCAAGACTAGTAAGTTTTAATTCTTAGTTTTCTTATCATTGGTGTTAATGTTATTTCCTTTGGAACAAGTATGTATTCAGAACAAAAGCACTTAGTTTAGTAATTATCCCTCAACACTAGGATTCACATATTCTTTTTCTAGCAGAAATTGTATGTATGCCTATGTGCCTGTGTACACTAACAGTATACTAGTAAATATATAACCAGATTATAGCACCGTGACTAATACAGGTTCCTATACCTGCATTGTCTGCTGCCAGGTAACACAACGCTGCCTTGTACTGTGTATGTCCTAACACAAAGCAGACTAACATTGTTGGTCACAGGATTGTTTCTGTATTTCTTTCGAGTCTTTGTAGACATGCTACATGCTGGTTAGATGTGCAGTCCCCTCACAGAATACTGACATTTCACATCTATTCATTGAGTGCCTTCTACCTGTCAGGTGCATCCTAGGAACTTCAGATGGATCAGTGAACGCGATAAACAAAAAGCCCTGCTCTCGGAGAACCTCAATTCTAATCATTTGTCACTCTAAGTGTTTTTGTTAAACGTTGTGTATCCTCCAGAGTATCGCTCAGAGTGCGTTCCCATGACCTTGCCCACAGATGCGATTAGGTCGCTTCATTACATGTCTTACATAGAGGACTCGTCCCAGTTTTCCTTTCATCTTTATTTGTGTGAGCTTGGGCTTGTCTCCCCCTCCGGAAGGATGGGGGTGATTGTGCTCGCTTTGCCCCTCTGTCACCTGGCATAGTGACTGGCACAGAGTCGGTCTCATTAAATAATTATTGAAGCAATAAATGAATGCCCCCAAAGACATTATTAAATAATATCCAAATGGGCATGCTCATGAAAGCTTTACGTAAATCATATTCCTCTTTGAGAAACAATGCCAGCATCAAAACGTATTGTTGGCAGTTGTATAGTCTTTAAATAAAAAGTGCATAAGGTGCTTTCACATCTATTCATTGAGTGCCTTCTATCTGTCAGGTGCATCCTAGGGCCATGTGGGTTATAAGTCAGCAATCGATTTGAGAAATGGTTAGTCCATCTCATGTGCCCAAACCACACGGCACTGAGCCAATTGCACCAGTGAAAGCAGCGTGATCCCTGGTTTGGGGGCTCACTGTGGAGGGATAGCCCCCGCTCGGGCGCCAGAGGGACTTTATGTATGAAATGTGTGTGCTGTCCTGTGTTCTCACCACAGGTAATAAAATGTTTGGCTGATAGCAAGGGGGAGGGGGAGGGTCCAAGAATGGAAGGCACCTTCACTTGCGTTGCTCACAGAAATTATCGAGAATATTCTCATTCTAATATTTCCGAGCTCTTTGACTTAGAAAACTCATGTAACATAAACTGCCTCCTTCAGGGCAGCCTTCAAGCTTTGCTTCCCTAATGTGCATCATCGTGACGTAATCCATCTTCCTAACCCCTCGTTGTCCAGTCTGCATGCTCAGTGTGTGCCCGCCCCCAGGCAGCAGTGTCGCTGGGAAGTTAAGTGATGCTGCAGTTGTGCGTGTAGTTGCCTCGCTGATGAGAGGGTTACTGGAGGATTAAAGGACTCCTATGGAAAGGTCTAACAGCACAGTTGGTCAGTAATAAGGACTTTTCGCTTAAGAGCACTGAAACCACAAAGGTATTTTCATCTTTAACAACCAATCAAGCTCCATTTTGCAATGGGAGTAAATGAGCCATATAATTACGCTCAATATCAGCCCTCGCCGTTTGGTGATTTACACTGAGGTAGGTCTCCGTTTATTAGCCACAATGCAGGTAAGGACTAAGTCACGGAATGTGTTTGCTGCTGTGTTTCTGAGGGGAGTTTCTTTCCTGGTGCCGGTGTCTGAATTGTTTTCTCTTTTCTGTCTCATTCCTGCTACTCCTTTGGAGAAGAAGGGGTCCACACGGAGGAGCTGGACAGTGAACTAGGTAAACCCGCAGCTGCGGCTGTTGCATGACTCCCCGCCATGGCTTTGTCGCCAGCGAATGGCTTACGCGCCGGGTTCTTTAGTTTGCATTCTCCAACTAGGAGTTTCATTCCAGTTTACCCACCAGGGGTCAGTCTTACAGCCCACATGTCTGACTGCAGATCATTGGAGCTGTAATCAGTTCCTTCTACAGAGAGGAAGCGCTCACAGCGGGTGCTGGGCATGCTTGTGCCTTGAGGATTAAGAAAAAAAACAGAGGGATAGAGGCTTGCCACGCCCCTTGAACTCTCTCATGTAACCTTTCTCAGCCTTGTTTTTTATGTGTTTGGTGGATAATACCAAAAAACCAAAGCAAAACTAATAAAAACCTATCAGACTAATTCAAGGATCATTACAAGAGCAACACTAATACAATAATTTCAATGAGTATTAGCTGAATAGTTACTGTCGTCAGTATTGTGTTGTTATTAAGTCATTGGCCACACGTTTGTACCTGTGGTGACTGTGGCCCATTTCCTTAGGGTGTATGTATCTATGTAAATCAAGTCTTGACTACCCTAGCTGTGATCAGTTAGAAATTATTCACATTAGCGGAAAATGCCAAACTCTGTTACCCTTCTTTGCTACCGGACTGCATGAATACTGTTCCCTGCTCAGTTACCTGTTCAATGTTGTTCATATCAGTTGGCATGCCATCTGCTCCCTCCACAGAAGGATCGACAGCAAAGCTCCAGTTCGGCTAAATTGCACTAGAAGCCTTGGCTGATTGAGAATTGACCATAGTATATTTTTAAAATAGAAAATTGTTTAACATCAGTGTGAAAGGAACTGTCCTGAGATCATTAAACCAGCCTAGCATTTAAAGATTGCCTTAACTGAAAAGAATGAATATTTCATACAGAATATTATTTGATTTTGTTTGATAGATAAAGACCGGAGTTATGATATACTAGAATTTAGCTCTGTTTTTCTTAATGTTTGGACATATTCTCATGTAATTGATGGATATGCCAGTGATGGTCGATAACCATTTATAGATCTATTTTAAACATGATTAATAAGTTTCCTTTGTGGGCATGGTGGTAGAAATAACTTGAGATGCAACCTGTTGTAATAGAACAATATAAAACTAATTTTATTTTTTTTTAAATTTATCAGTCCGGTGATGTTAGATAAAATAATTGAAAGAGGCAGAACTAGGTTTTCTGGACATAAAATGACTGCCTTACTCACTTGTTGAACCAATTCCAGCCACTCTTGCTGCCCAGCTAATAGGTGTGTGTGGCCACTGTCTGCATAGCTGGTGGACATAATATGGCCAAGTGCAGGGCACACATTTCTTTGCTTCTATGCCAGTTCGAACATTGACATTTTTAGGAAAGAGGTATTTTTTTCCCACGTAACTGTAACATGGTGGGAATTTCCCTATCCGTTCACAGACTCTAACAAAGAAGTTTTAGTGGCTGCATAGTGTCCCTTCTCATGGTCCTGGCCACAGTCCTGGGCGGTGGTTTGGAAGTGGAGGAACTGTCTCAGGTCAGATCAGGCTGCATCCTCTCCAATCTGGGACCCTTTGGGGGATGTCAGACTGCCGGTTTAGGCCCCATCCTGGAGATCGGGCCTAAACCGGCAGTCAGACAACCCTCTCACAATCCTGGACTGCTGGCTCCTAATCACTCATCTGCCTGCCTACCTGGTCACCCCTTACTGCCCCCCCTGCTGGCCTGGTCACCCCTAACTGCCCCCTTGCTGGCCTAGTTGCCCCTCAGTGCCCCCCATGCCAGCCTAATCACCCCCAGCTGCCCCCCCTGCTGGCCTGGTTGCCCCTACTGCCCCCCTGCCAGCCTGGTCGCCTCTTACTGCCCCCTCTGCTGGTCTGGTCGCCCCCAACTGCCCCCCGCCCCCGCCAGCCTGGTCACCCCATGCAGCCTGCTGTTCAGTAATTTGGTCATCCCTCACTAACCCCCTGCCAGCCTGGTCACCGCACGCAGCCTGCTTGTTCAGTCATTTGGTTGTCCCTCACTAACCCCCCTGCGGGCCTGGTCGTAGGCAGCCATCTTGTGAGGGCATGAGGGTCAATTTACATATTACCTCTTTATTATATAGGATTACCTAAGTCCCTCTTATGGACTTTTCAGTACTTCCTTATGGTACTTTTTGCCTTTAATATGGAACAGGAGAGGAACATGTGTACTATAGAAATGGCCCAAATGTGTCCTTGAAGGTGTAATGGGAATAGGGCTCCTGATTTTTGCCTGTATGTATTCACTGCAAAGAGTAGTGTACATACATACATACACACACACACATACATACACACACTGTTTTCTTTGCATTCACTCCAGATTCTATTGACAAGCCATTGACCATTTTTTTTAAACAAGAAGGACCTAATCTTAAACAATAGCAACTGTCAGGTTTCCGGTGAACAATGCAATTCCAGATGCGACCAGGACACCCCCTCTGAAATCTGCCTCTGAGGCGGGGGTTGCTGGCACGGGTTGGACACATCCTTTGATAATAGAGTTGTCATTTCTGAACTGTGTTGTGTGATCCGGTCATTAGCTTCATCATGCACATTTGGTTTGCAGAATAGGGCATATCCTCTGTGATAACATCTCCCCAGAATTGAAAAGCACTTGCAAACCTTTTGGAATCACAGGGTATTCGTGTGCTGAACGCAACTAGGAGAGTAGAGAGGAGGTCTCCTCCAACCCAAACTGAGTCACAGCTTTGAAATGTATCTCTGAGTATGAACATGACTTTCTGTCTGTGTGCTGACGAATCCCTTAGAAAAGAACTTAGAACATTCGACTGCTTTGTATTTGCTTCTGTGATGGCAATTAGTTCAACATGAGGTTTTCAGAGGCGGAGCAGCAAGCAAGCAGGCCATACAAAGCTGTCCATTCCTCGTGTGCCAGCCAGTGCTGTGCAAAGTGTTTTACAAACACCCTCATTTAATCTGCCATGGCCTTTGAGGTCAATCCAGGAGAAAGATCTGCTCCCAGGATGTTGACTGACTAGACCAGGTCCAGCTCTCCGTGGGGGAGCCTGGTTCATCCAGGGATGGGCAGCCCCAGTGGGTCCTGGTGCCTGAAATCTCAGCACAGGCTGTGCAGTCTGGTCGGATGATGCCATTTTTTTTCTGAACTTCAATATTTTATGCTATTTTCAGTTTTTTAGAGCCAAATTGGCAAATTTGAGGACTAATATCTTCCTTTTTTAAATCGATGACCCATTTCTATTTTAAGCAGTAGGGGGGACTAATTCCTATTATTAAACTAATCACCACCTTGGAAGTGAGAAATCAAAATCTATCTTTCTTTTTTGAATGAGTTTTACTTGAAAAACTAGAACATTTTTACAGTTTGCTCATCTGTCCCAGAAGCTGTGTGTAGATTTGCAAATGTCCAGACATCCTAATTGAGCGACCTCATTCTCTGTTGACTGGGTGGCAAGGCAGGCAGAGGGGCCCTTTCCTCGAACCCTCCGACCCCCACCAGAGCACTTAACTGCAGTGTTTGAACTGTCCGCTCAGATAGGGCACTCGTAGTGACCTGTGTCCGGTGCCTAGCACACTCCAGCAGACAGCAGGCACTCACTAAATGTTTGAGAAATTAATGATGGGATGAATTGAATTCTTAATGTTTTCCCTATTTTATCTGAAGATAATAGGGCCAAATATTTAAGGTTGTAGATTCTGAAAAGAAAGTTGGCCCATTAAACATAATTCGGCCCCCTCCCACTCACCCGTTCCCCTGCCCCATGCCTGAACAAATACAAGACTGTGCACCAATTTGCATTTTTTTAATCTTTGATTTCCCAACTCCTTGGAAATATCTTCCCGGTTCTTTTTAATTTAAATGGTAATTTCCAGTGTTGTAAGGGAAACCATTTCCCCAGCATGTGATTTGCATTAGTCCACAAGACTCTGCGTATATAAAAAATGCCAAGTTTTATCAACATCTGTAAATTGGACCTGTCTAGCCTTTTAGTGGCTTACATCTTTGAATTTTTTAAAGAAATTCAAAGACTTCTTTAAAACCTGCTCAGTGTGTGTGTTTTTAAATTAGAAGAAAGGGGCCAGGGAGGGGGGAACCTTGTCTTTTTGTTTGCAAACACACTGTGGAGCAGAAACCATGAAATTAATGTGTCTTGATGTGCAGCCAAATTTGAGGAAGACGTGAACTTGAAGCAATTAACCTGCGTGTCTGAGTGCACGCTCAGGACCCCACTTCAGCATGGAACCGTTGGTGGCATATGTAAGCCCTGATGAAACGGTCACTATTTAAAAATAATGGTCACGTGAGTCCATGAATTTTTAAAAATCTAGCATTTCAAAATATATTCAGTGTTTGTAAATTCCACTTAAGTGGGTTTATGTAATGGCTACTTCTAGGAATGATGACTCGCTTTGGAGCCCTGTGTTATACAAGCTTGCCTCAGCTGTGTACCCATGTATGTATCAGGTGGCTTTCAAATTAAGCCGAGTAACTGTTCTCCAACTAGACTTTGTTTAATGACACAGAACACAACCTTAGTCGCTTTTTTCACCACGTCAGCTTCTCTGGTGCAGTGGGCTTTCTCGCACTCGATTGGTGTAACAGCCCTCACTGTGACCTAGTTAACAAAGTACCAGCCTTTGATCTGAACCTTACAAAGTCAAGTCCAGGAGAGCACCGTCGAATTTTCAGAAAGGCACACCCCCGGGGATGGGCAAAGTGGGTTCACAGCTGCATGTGACCTTCTTTTGACTTAATAAAGCCATAGTAATAGCCATAACCTGCGTGTCCTTCTCCATGCGAACAACTTGTAGGCCTACTTTTGCCCACCCCTGTGTGTGGGCCCCCCGATGCCATTTACCACCACATTTGAAGGAAATGTAGGCTAGTGAGACCTGTGTTTCTGCTTTCGTAGGCAAACTGCTGGTGAAATAGGCCAGTCCAGGTAGAGTGGTGAGGGATGGGCGCATGCATTTCAGAAACACAACTCACTGTGGGCATGTCTATTTGGTAGCCTTTTTATTAGGAACGAGGAGAAAATAAGATGTACATCTTACCTTATTCCAGGAAGTGAAAAACAGCACGATGAAAAGAGCATGAAAAGTAACACATTTTTATCTAATTTTGCTTTCGTGTTAGGTAGTCTAGAAATAAAATGAGAAAACTATAAATATTTAAGATAGGAACTGGGCAAATTTTAACTACATTTTTATTAAAGTCTAATTTAATAGTTGGTTTAGAATGAAGGCGCCTGGGACTGCATTTTATTACGTTTCATTTGCTTGTGCAAAATACCAGTAAATAATTGTTCTTCGTGTAGAAAAAATGCACTGATAAAATAAAAATAATACTGGCTTTTCTTTTAGGATACACAGTTTTAATTGGCCTTAAGGTACTTTTATGAACTTCTTTTTGCCTAACTTGTTGAAAATCCCTAGGCTCTTTAAGAATATGCTCTTCTCTCTCTAAATGTTCTTTTATTTTTCAGAACTGCCTGCCGGTTGGGAAAAGATTGAAGACCCTGTCTATGGTATCTACTATGTAGAGTAAGTGTCCACTAATCCACACTATAGCTTGTACCCTCTGTCATCACGTACATTTATGCTGAACAGAGTTTGCCATCATTATACGGTATAAACTAAATGATAATAACATAATTTTATAGTGAAAATATATATCTATTTTAATGAATGAGAAAATATTCAGCAAATCTGAAGACAACAAATTATATTATAAGAGTCATGAGGGCCAATGCTGTGTCTTTTGTTTGCCACTACACTGCCAAGTCTCGACAGTCCTGGTGTAGGGCAGGCACTTAGTATTACTTGAATGAATGAATGAATGAATGAATGAATGAATCTCAGACAAGCAACCATTCACTAGACCAAGTGAGGAGGGCCATCTTCAGGAGGAGGACCTGTTTGCCCACTTTTTGCCCTGCCCAAGTCTGAACTGCTCAGTAATTACTTGCTAATTCATTCAGACTTTCTAAAAGGATCAGACACATCTTAATAATGTATGAAATGTTGCCAAGATTAAGAAGGAAACTGAGAACTAGCCTAACCTGCAAGGTCCTGGTGCCTCTGTGCCTCTCCCCAGCCTGAGGACCATACACGTGGCTCCTGGTTTTCGTTTCTAAGACTCTCCCGCCCTCATCGTGACGGCTTTACTGTGCACCATTCTCTAGCAGTGGGCGTGCACTCGCCTTCCCGTCAAACCCATCAGTTAGGATGACACCCAAGAAAGTAAAGGAAACCCAAGTGATTAAACATTGAATGAATCTGCTTTATGTCATTTTCTCTGAGAAAGACGAGAGATAGCTAATAAAAGATCCTTTGAAAGAAACAAACACCATATAAATGTTCTGTCATAATCCTGCCTGGCGAGCTGTGTCCCTCCTGCTACCGCTAGGAGCTAGGTGGGTCATTTGTATAAAACCCAGTGATAAGAACATGAGGCAACAATGCCAGATCATAAAATGCTCAGCATCTTACTGTGAAAAATCCCGAGTTCAATATAGCAAGTGTCCTTGGGCATTACTCCTATCACCACCTCTTTTCCTATCAAGAGGATTGGTGACTTGGGGCATCAGAAAGGAAAATCTCTGACCTTCATAAAACAGAATTCCTTTGTGGCCGGCAGATCACCTTTCTCGCACTGTGCGGTGGGGGTTGCCTGTGTGGGGCTCACTGTGAGTTCTCCCTCAAGGAACTTGTGTATGAAAGGGAACAGGTACTGCAGCCTTGATGCAGAGGCGTGGTTGAGCGGCTATTTGTTTTCTCACTGTGCACTTTCCCTCCTTGTGTCTTAAATCTAATGCCCGGTAATGTTAGACTCTATCTTAGCATGAAATTGCCTACAAGGATCAGGAAATAAACAAGCAGTCCTACAATAAAAATCAAGGGTAATTAGTCTATCCACCCTATTTGACAAGCCTGCCTTTGGAAAAGAAATCCTGGCTTTAAAAAGAATTTTGATTCTAAATCACCATATTACCGATATGTTCCCAAACGTCTAGGGAAGTGTGATTTTCATGAAGAAAGAAAAAATCTGAATATGTTTATGCTTCTGTGTATTTAGAGAACATGTGTGTATGTACATAGGCAGATACTAAATAAGACCATGGCAAAAAACACCTGTGTATTCATATGTATGTATGTATGTATATGTGTAGGTATGTGTGTTTTGCCATGGCCTTATTAGTTCTGGGATCATCCTGGGTCTTTGTCACTTTGAACACACCCATTGGCTTAGGTTAGCTGCCTGGGGAGTCTCTCTGACTTGTGCATTTTGGCCTATACTTTTAATCCTGACTCCATGTCTGTTGTTGCAAATAATTGACAGATGTTGTTAGAGTCCTTTTAACTTCATCATTGGGATGAACTCTATTGTGGACAGCCACACGGCAGTTTTGGCATTATATGTTATAGACATCGTCACACCTCCATTTTAATCTCATTTCTTAATACTTCTGTAATCTATTTCTTGTTGAATGAAAGCAGTTCACCCAGCAGGTGATTCCCTGAACACTTGAGAGTCTGAGGTTTGGAAGCAGCCTCTGCACTGTTCACTAGCTAAGTTATGTTAGGCGAGTTGTTGCTTAACTGCTCAGACATTCACTGTTTTTAGTCCCTAAAATATAAATGGAAACAGGGCCTACCTCCTGGCGTTGGTGGAAGATTTTAAGATACCATGCCCGTAAATCTCACCGCACGAGGCGGGGTGCGTACAGCAGTCACACGGAGCCCGTTTTCCTCCCTCCGCCGACCTACACGTGACACGAGATGCTCAGAGCCTCGGGCACCTGTCTGCTCGGTTCTAATCCCGGGACTTGGCCCGACTGGCATTTGCTTGTGGGATGAGACGTTTCCTAACCGGGTGCTCTCTGCTTCTGCCCCAGCCACATCAACAGGAAGACACAGTATGAGAACCCAGTTCTAGAAGCCAAACGGAAGAAGCAGCTGGAGCAGCCGCCACCGCAGCCGCAGCCGCAGCCTCCGTCCGAAGGTTGGCTTTCTGTGTGTGGTCCAGGAGCACAGGGCAGAGCCTGGGTGCCGACACCCCATGTGGTCAGGACTGGCCTGGTGACCCAGTCCTGCGCCCGATTACTTGATGTCCTGGGAGCAATACTGAGTTGCCAGAGTTCCCTGCCCTGGAACCAGGAGGAGGGCCCGATTCCGAGGCACCGATTGCACTTAATTTAGAAAGGAGCTGTCCTGAGCCTGGAGCTGAGGATTTGAGAGCTATCTATCTATCTATTAAATATATTTTTATTGATTTCAGAGAGGAAGGAAGAGGGAGAGAGAGAGAGAGAGACATCAATGATGAGAGGAAATCATTGGTTGGCTGCCTCCTGCACACCCCTTACTGGGAATGGAGCCCGCAATGTGGGCATGTGCCCTTGACTGGAATCGAACCCAGGACCCTTCAGTCCGCAGGCTGATGCTCTATCCACTGAGCCAAGTCAGCTAGGGCTTGAGAGCTTTTTAAAATTGCAAGTCAATTCATGCTCTTTGGAAAAATATGAACAATTCAGCAGTGTGGAGCATTAAATTCTCCCCTGCTCACTCCTAACCCGTTAATTTTTATATTCTATTTTATAAATATATCCGCTTCATTTAGTCACCTGCTTATTAGTAGATGCTTAGGCTTTTCCCAGTTTTTCATTACACTCTTAAAATAATAGACTTTAATGCACCCTCAGTGTAACATGTGAATATCAAATATGTGAATGTCAAATATAACACTTCTCTTATTATAACACTGTATGTAGTAAATATAGATCATAGAGTGGAAACTGGCAAACTTGTTCTAAAAATGGGCATATGGTAAATTTTGTGGGCTTGGTGGTTCATGCACTCTACTACAACCACACACACTGTCTGGAGCTGTGTGAAACAGCTATCAACGTGTGAACAGTGGGCGTGCCTGTTCCCACGCAACATTACAGGTGGGCTGAAATTTAAACGTCAGGTAATTTTCATGTCATGAAATCTTCTTCTCCATAAAATATAAACGAAAACAGAGCCCAACTCCTGGCATTTATTAAAGGAGTTTGTTTCAACCATTTAAATGTGTAAAAGCCATTTTTGACTCACAAGTTGTATAATAACAGTCACTGGGCCCAATTTGGCTTTTTGGCCATAATTTGCTAACCACTTCCATAGACTGTATGAGAGAGAGAGAGGGGGAGATCACCTACTGAAAAGTTCTCCTTTCTACCTTAATTTATTTTCTATTTAAAAATAACCTTTTTTAACATTTTCCCTGAGAGGGGAAGCTTGGTAGTGTTGGTGGAGCTTGGGGAATGGGAGTGCGCACTTAAGTAAGAGAGCCGAGCTGGAAGGACTCTAGGGGAATGTCAAGGGTCACTCACGGCGTTATTCCTGGGCCTCCAGGGGCGATAGGACTATAGTTAGGACCCAGGAGTATTTCGTGTTCAGAGATGACAGGAGATAGCCTCTCAGCCAACTGCTGAAACCCCTTCCCTCCCTGAGATGAGCTGGCTGAGCAGCCCGCCCATGTCTCTGTTGCATTGGGCTGAGTTCACTTCGTTTTGTGTCTTTCCTGATGTGTTTTGCTTGGTCTCACTTTGGACTCTCCAGCCAGAGAGAACTGGGGATTTATTGGATTTATTTCTATCCCCAAAGGTCTTAGGAAAGAGAGACAGAGAGAGATATCTTGGTATTATTAATAGAGAGTGGGATCAAATGCCTTTTTTTTTTACGTCTTGGCCCCTGGTTTTATTGGTTTGGGCAACTTTACATTAAGAAGGTGAATCCTAAGTGAGCTATTGGTTCTCTCTCTTGCAGAATGGACAGAAGACCGGTCATCGCTCGTGCCTCCTGCTATTCCCAGCCACCCCCCAAGCAACCCAGAGCCGGCCAGGGACCCTCCCCTTCAGGGTAAGGCTTTATATAATTGCACCATTGTTTTAGCTCAAAAACCTGATATTTTAAAAGGTACTTTAAGAAGTGGAATCTTGCAACTCCCAACTCATTCCTTTGATCGTAAAAACCATGATGATTAAAATTCTAAATGCATCAGTGATCAGAAGTGTCAAAAATATTAAAAACATTGTTGTGTGAATTCCTTCAGCTCTTTGTGATGTTCTGAAAGTGACCACTACTTGTCATCAAGGATTAAACCAGATTTCCTCAGCCTCAGCACAGACCCCTCTGTGCTGTGGGCCAAGCTGTGCCTTGTAGGGTGTGGGCAGCTTCCCTGGCCTCACCCACTAGATGCCATAGCAGCCTCCTTTTGTGGCAACCAAAGGTGTCCCCGCTGGGGCGGGGGGAGGAGGGGCAAAACCGTCCCAGGGTCTCGAACCACTGGGATTTAGAGACCACAGATGTTTAACAATTGTGTAAAATAACTTGAAAACTCGGCATTAGATATTTCAAGATCCTAGTCAGCCATATTTGGTTTTAACTAAAATTTTTCTGCAACTGTAAAATGGTTGGACATGTTGTTTTAAATTCTCGTCTCTGATTCTGGCTTCGGTTTTGGCATTTACCCACATTTTACAACATTTTGTTGGGTCTCATTTGTTTGCATTTCTTCCCAAAGCCCCCTGCAGAGGTTCACTTTTGAAAATTGAAAGCTCCAGAATCTTGCTACTTCAGGCCTCATAACTCTTAAATGATAGAAAAGGTTTTCGGGTTTGTTTGTTTAGTGTGTGTTTTGGTTTTTTTTAATAAGGCGAGCATCATATTCGGTAGAGTGAGGAACATTTGTGGTTCAGAACTTTTAAAAAGACTATAAAATTTGTTCTCTCCATTTTATAAAAGATGTAAGTAGATAGGTAGAATAATTATTTTCTATAATTTTGATTCCTCCATTATAATTTTCATAAGAAAGAAATTTCCCTTCTAGCTGATATTGTCATGAGATTAGTATTAACACCAATTTAGGTAAAATAATTTCTGCTGCCTTGGATGAACTTTTTAGGATGATAATGGCTTTAATGAAGATAACAAGTAGATAATAGCATTAATTAATATCAACACGATTGTACCTCCTTCATATTTTTTAAATATAATACTCCTTCAGCAGCCTCATGTTGTCATATTTCCCCTCTCCTGGTAAGTCAGCTACACTAACTTTTACGTATCTTGAACCTCTTTTCTGTTCCTTAAACCAGCGAACCTTGGACCATGTCAAAGCCTTTGCATATGCTGTTCCCTCTGCAGCAGTCTTTTCCTGCCAGTGTTTGCTTTGTTAGCTTCTACTCATCTCAGGTTCTGGCTAGATTCCCCTGTTACAGTCACTCTTTCCATCTTATTCTTCTCATTTTTAGAACCTAACAGTTATAGTGTTTCTGTGTGTTCAGCTACTTAACAGTTGTTTCCTCTTTAGACTTTAAATCGCAGAGGCGGGGGCTGCTTTCTCGCTGTAGGGCCCTCCAAACCAGGCACACTCCTTGGGTATCTGTCATCTGCTAAAATGTATTGTAGAGTAAAAGAATATACATATGTGTAAACATACATACTTGCATGCACATATACATGCACAATAAGCAGCACAGCTTCCTTAAAGCATTGTCTTAGAGATTAAGTCAACCAACACTTTAAAGCAGCGGTCGCCAACCTTTCGGACCTCACAGACCACCAGTGGCCCGCGGACCACCGGTTGGTGACCACTGCTTTAAAGGGTCAGGTGCTGGTGCCAAACCTTAGTGCCGCAGCTGCGGTGCAGGTCCAGAGGTACTGATCTTTGCTAGGAGCTTCCTTCTCCTTTCTAGGCCTCTTTTCCTTTTCTTTTGTCCTTTGAGTCTCTGGCCCCCACATTGGTTTAGATTGGGAGAGCTCACTGTGCCTTCACTGGGGACCTCATGATTCCTGCCTCCTTCGGCTTCTCACCTCCGTGCTGAGCCCGCCTCCAGTTACACCCTCACCGCAGAAGGTGTGTGTTCAGCAGTAGCCTACGCCTTTACCCAGTGGTGCCCGGAGCAGTACTGACCTGACAGGGAAGCACACACCTCAGGGTTGTTAGAAGCAGATGTGGGGCCAAGACCCGGTAGGTCCAGGTTCAGTGAGTCTAGGGCAGGCCCTCAACTTAGTCGCTTCCCAAAGCTCCCCAGGTGGTGCCCTTCCACCACAGAAGCACCACTGGCACCAGTTGGGAGACGAGGCTCTCTGAGAAAGTGGCGTGTGCACGGGCTGAGCAGAGCCCCAGACCCACAGCTGTGGGTAGAGAGTGGCGTGTGCATGGGGCTGAGCAGAGAACTCCAGACCCACAGCTGTGGGTAGACAGGCATTTCTTCCCAAAGCCCCACTAACTGATGACCATCCCATAAACACAATAAAAGGGGGTGAATGTGGAGCCCTCTGGTCTGCCTCCCTAGGTAAGCCTTGGAAAAGGACGGCAGTGCCCTGCTCCTGTTGCGTTACATTGAAAACATTTTAAGCTCAGAATATGCTGATAGCTTAAAAAATTCATTCAGAAAAACTGACACATGTTCACATTTGTAACTGCACCTATAATAAGGGTAAAACGCTTAAACACCCGCCGAGACCTTCAGCCTTCTGAAAGACAGTTAAATCTCATTTCTTTGAGCTGTTGTTCATTCATTCACTCGCTGAGCAGGAGTTTTTGGAGCAGGTAAAATGAGAAGGGCAGTGTTCTACACACTGGGTATCAAGCAGAGGCCACACCAAGCTCACAGCTACCTGGTGGCTGTATGTGCATGTGCGCTGCCCCTCATGTGTGGGTTGGGGACAGTGAGCCAAAGCCCCAGGTCAGTAGTGAGAGGGAGACTGTATTGGGCAGTGCTGGCCCGTTTTGCTCAGAGGTTAGAACATTGGCCTGCAGACTGAAGGGTGTTGGGTTTGATTCTGCTCAAGGGCACATACCTCCGTTGCAGGCTCAATCCTCAGTCCTGGTCAGGCATGTGCAGGAGGCAACCAGTCGATGTGTCTCTCACATTGATGTTTCTCTCTGTCTCTCCCCCTCCCTTCCACTCTCTCTGAAAATCAATGGAGAAATATATCCTCGGGTGAGGATTAACAACAACAAAATGAAGCTGGAAAGGGGGCTTGGAATGTTGGGAGGTCCTGCAGTTTCTCCTAAGGCGGCCAGGAAGCCTCAGTGAGGGGGTGCGGCTCCTGGGGTCCCTGCAGAGCGTACCCCTTAAGCTTTAAGGGCTCTGAGCTCCCTAGCAGCCTCTGCCTCTGCCTCAGGGGTGCCGACTGTTCACAAGGGGGTGTCTCCCTTGTCCTCAGCTCCCAGCTGATGATTGCCATGCACCTGTCTCCCCACAGCCCTGGCTGCATGGACACCCGTCTCCTGGGCCTGGCAGATGATCTTACATGGGGAGTCCTGCCATAGGGAGTCCTGCTGTACCCTCACTTCCTGTAGCCCTGGGACAGAGCCCGCCTGTCCACTCCCAGCCAGCCAGGGCCGGCTCCAGGGAGGAGGTCGAGGAGCACTCCTATGACTCTAGGCCAGCGGTTCTCAACCTGTGGGTCGAGACCCCTTTGGGGGTCGAACAACCCTTTCACAGGGGTCGCCTAAGACCATCGGAAAACACATATAGCATATCAGATATTTACATTACGATTCATAGCAGTAGCAAAATTACAGTTATGAAGTAGCAATGAAAATAATGTTATGGTTGGGGGTCACCACAACATGAGGAACTGTATTAAAGGGTCATGGCATTAGGAAGGTTGAGAACCACTGCTCTAGGCAGTTTGAAAGAGCTTTTTAAGAGCCAGAAACTTTTGAAATATGCCGTTATAAATTGTATGTATGTACAGAGACCTTTTGAGAAAGGCCTTTTCGAGACAGCTAACCAAAGCTAGCTTTCCTTCTGGGTACCAGGCTCTCTCGTGCCGGTCTAGGGAGACATATCCGCCTGTTGTGGTTTTGGTTTTTTAAAATAACATTTTTGATAGAAGAGAAATAGGGCACATGGGGCAGCTGTAGCAAGGACTGGAGACGGGAATTATAATTAGGAGAGTTGAAGAATCTGGGCCTTGAATTATATCCACTATTTGGGATAACCAGAGAAATTCCAGTAAGTCTTTAAATTATAGTGAAATGCCCAACTAATGAAACACAGAAATTTTGGTTACTCTACAAGATGTTATTTATGAATGCTATCAAGAAAATTCAATAAAACCTTAGGTAGCATATCTGGAAGTTATTTAGCTACATACCTTTTTATTTTAAGTAAGACAACTGACCCTAACCAGTTTGGTTCAGTGGGTAGAGCATCGGCCTGTGTCTTGAAGGGTCCCAGGTTCGGTTCCGGTCAAGGGCATGTACCTTGGTTGCAGGCACATCCCCAGTAGGAGGTGTGCAGGAGGCAGCTGATCAATGTTTCTCATCGATGTTCCTAACTCTTTATCCCCCTCCCTTCCTCTCTGTAAAAAATCAATAAAGTATATATTTTTAAAAATAATAAAACAACTGAATTTGGAGCTATATGGCTCTTGTAGTAACTATTTTGCTTAGTTTAGGTTTTTAAATTTTGTTTTATTTTTTAAAATATTCCAAGCCACTTCTAAACTTTATTTATTTACTTATGCCAGGGATCAAGCCTGGGGCCTCATACATGCAAACCATGTGCTCTGCCACTGAGCTCACTTCCCACCCCTAAACTTCTTTTAAAACAGTAGATTTTAGCAGTGGGCATGTCCAGACTACTCAACAAAATGTTAAAAGACGCAAATTAATAGGAAAAAATCGTTTAATTTAGAATTCAAATCAAAGTAAAATTATAACTCTCTTTATTTTGAAAACAGTGATGGTACTATTTTATAAAATTATTCATGACCATAGTATGTTTCTTAGTATTATGTATGTATTTTCAGAGGGAGATTTCTGTTTGATTAAAAGCTAAAGATTTTGATGAATTGGTTTTACAAGTGAAAAACAAGCCTGAGGCAACACATTGGAAGCTGTATTGCAAAATATAAACTATAACAAAACACAAGACAGAAAGCAAAGTCCACTCCGCCTTCTGTGAAGGGCCGCGTGGCAGCGTGACCGCTGTCACACCACATGAGCCGAACCGTGCACGTGGGTCGGGTGACGGACCCCTCTCTCCTCCTGCTCTTGCGTTTCCCTTCAGAGCTTCATGCTGACGTGTGCCTGTACCACGTGCCCCTCCTCAAACTGGGAGAGACTTTCTTATGGCACCTGTGTACCCCAGTGCCCCGGCACAGGAGCATGGAGATGACCTAGAAGTTGTAGCATTTCCTACTTTATTCACCTTTTTTACTCGTCCTGACATTCCTTTACTTTTTCTTCTTTTAATCTAGGCAAACCCTTTTTTACACGAAACCCTTCTGAACTGAAAGGCAAGTTCATTCACACGAAGCTGCGGAAAAGCAGCCGTGGCTTTGGCTTCACGGTCGTCGGAGGGGACGAACCTGACGAGTTTCTGCAGATCAAGAGCCTCGTCCTGGATGGTCCCGCTGCGCTGGACGGCAAGATGGAAACAGGTGGGGCAGCAGGTGGCCAGTGCTGCTGTCACCACCCGAGACCAAACAGCAGCGGGGTTTCTGGGCTTAATCACCTCCTCAGTGTCGGCTCCTCCACTCCGTACATGAATTCCCCGGTGGAGATGGAAACCTGTGAGGCCATGTCACCTTTGGGGAGCTCTTAGGGTGCTACTGAGTGGAGTAGAGCCGTGATTTGTGAGAGTGTAGATCTGTTTGAATAGATGGGTTCAGAGCTTGGATTTCTGCAGTAAGGATTTTTGTTAGAAGAAAGCTCCAATGTTCTTTCAGTGACCATATCTTCTCACAGGCAGGAACCACACTGGTGCTGAACAAATGCCTTGTTAGCCATTAAAATAAGTGATAGAAGTAGTCCCTTTGTGTCCTACAATGCCACCCCCAAATCCAATTTCACATCAGCTTCCTGTTGGTAGGCGTTTATATCATAACTACAGTCCTGATGCACGAATTCGTGCAAGAGTAGGCCTTCCTTCCCCCAGCTGCCAGCACCGGCTTCCCTCTGGCACCTGGGACCCGGGCTGCTTCCCTCCAGCCGCCGCCGGCAGGCACCCGGGGCCCGGGCTTCACTATGGCCCCAGCTTCGTCTGGTGACATCCGGAATGATGCCCGGAAGGATGTTCCGTCTAATTAGTCTATAACCCTTTTTTTATTATAGATATCGAGGTAGATTTTCTGCGTACTGTTTTTTTGAATCCCCAAACTCTTACCTTTTGCAGGAGATGTAATTGTCAGCGTGAACGACACCTGCGTTTTGGGACACACACACGCGCAAGTTGTGAAAATCTTCCAGTCCATTCCCATCGGTGCCAGTGTGGACCTTGAACTCTGCCGAGGTTATCCGTTGCCTTTTGACCCAGATGACCCCAATACGAGTTTAGTGACCTCAGTGGCCATTTTGGATAAAGAACCAATTATCGTGAATGGGCAAGAGACCTACGATTCACCAGCTAGTCACAGCAGTAAAACAGGCAAAGTCAACGGCATGAAGGACGCCAGGCCGAGCAGTCCAGCCGACGTGGCTTCCAACGGTTCCCATGGTTACCCCAATGACACTGTCTCGTTGGCTTCCTCCATAGCCACTCAGCCAGAACTCATAACTGTCCATATAGTCAAAGGGCCGATGGGCTTTGGCTTCACTATCGCAGACAGTCCTGGAGGGGGCGGCCAAAGGGTGAAGCAGATCGTGGACAGCCCCCGGTGCCGCGGCCTGAAGGAGGGCGACCTCATCGTGGAAGTGAACAAGAAGAACGTGCAGGCTCTCACGCACAACCAGGTGGTGGACATGCTGATCGAATGTCCAAAGGGCAGTGAGGTCACCTTGTTGGTGCAACGAGGAGGTACGTAGGTTTATTTTGTTCTTTGATTTTTTTTTAACCCATAATCCATTGTTTAACTTACTGGTCTTCGGGTGGCTCTTTGGGGCTTTTTAAATGTCTGCTTTTCTAAGATTATTTTTATTTAAATGATTAGAAATGCATTCAAAATGTTTTCTGATTTCTTCAAATGCTAGCATCTTTAGAATAAAGGTTGTGTTTATACATATGTTACACATGTGCAGCTAGAGCGATACCCTTAAATGTAAGTCAGATTGTGCCTTTAAATGACCATTAAGATTTTAAAACCTTTCTCCTTTAAATCTCCTGAACCGGGCCTGCATAGCGTGCATGCAAAATGGGGCTCCTGGCCTCTCTTCTGACCTCCTCACACTCTTCTCCCCTACTCACTGTCCTTTAGCCACCTGGCATCTTTTCTGAAGTGCCTGTAGCACTCCAAGCCCTTTCTGCCTCAGGGCCTTCGCACGTCCTGTTCCCTCTGCTTGGAATGCCTCATTCCCACCTCTTCCCTTGGCCAGCTCAGTCTCATTGGTTTCCTCCTGAGAGAAAGCTTCCCTGGTCACTAATCTAAAGAAGCCTCCAACACCTCCATGTAACCTCCACTGCATTACCCCATTTCTTCATGGCCTTTACCGGTATCATGATTATCACAAGTCACTCATTTGTATATATATTTTTTGCTGCTCTCTCTTTTTTACTAGAATGTAAGAGCCATAAAGCCAGGGCCCGTGTCTACATATTGACATCTGTGTTCCCAGCATTTAACACAGTTCCTGACTCCTGCTAGGTATCCATGAGTAAATCGGTATCGAATGAATGAATGGATGAATGAATGAGTATGCGATTATTTATACTTGTCAGGAACAAGAGCTCCACCAATTGTATTAAAAACATATCTCAGCGTACCCACAATTTAATGATGTGATTAAAGACCCCAGGGAAGTGGGGTATTCTAAGTCTTGAGGAGTTAGACTTCCTGCTTTCCCCTGCCTGCGTGCCTCACCGGAACTCCCAGGACCTCACCCTGAGAAATATTTTCCACAAGTTGGAATGTCGTTTCTGAATCTGTGTCTGTGACTAGTGGTGGATCACCTCACCCAATGTGCCTGATGCTGGTTGTTCCCCTGGCCCTTGCCAACGTGATTTGTTCCGTGCACGGCATATTCTGACCCTCTGAGCCGAGATGAGGAGCCAGACTTTTCTTTTCTCTGGGTTCCGTTGCAACAGTGGCGCGCATGTATTTGTTCGCACGCTCTCGTGGCGCTGTGCGTTCTGTGATCCAAACAATTGGTGTCGTTGGAAGGAGACCCAAAATTCAGAGCAGCCGTTTGTGTGAATAGATGCTCGATCTTTCTTGAACAGTTTCAAAAGCCACTGTGCGGATTTTATTCTTAAAAACGGTGTTGCCACCGATGCAGCTTTCATGTCTCTTGTACTAGATCACTTGACAGGATAGATAATTGTTGTTTAAACAGTGACTAAGACGCAGTAGGAAGTGACTTGCGTGTGAGGGTGATGATAATACCTGGCACTTAGACATAAGCTGGCAGTTTACAAAGCACTTGCCTGCGGGCACACGCCTCTCATCTCACTTTCACCACGTCCCTGACGGGTGGGCGGTGCCAGCCCACGAGGTGACGGAGAAGTTCACCCAGGAGTTTGCGGTCTAGTCCTCTGCCTTCCTCTGAGGGACGCTGGTTTCTGCAGAACCGCTGGTTTCGGCAGTCAGCAGCTGGAAACTTTTCAGTAGTTTTCAGTTCGTCAGCGGCATCTCTGATTCAGCCACTGCTCCTTCGACAGTCACAAACCACTCTGCTCTCCTACCGAATTAATTGCCCCTTCATTATTTGCTCCTTCATTCCTTTTGTCAGTGTGTTTAGTTTTCCTTTGTTATTAGAGTCACTTTTAAGAGGACCAAAACAGTGAGTCTCATTATAATCTACCAACTGACAGTGGTTACTGGAATCATATTATAATGAATGTGCCCACCCTAGCAAATAATTGATTATAGAAATATACCTCTTGATTTCAAATACGTTTGCATTCCCTGTTCTTAATTTCTGAGACCTTTTTTGTGAGTGCCACTACCTTTTATAACATGAAATTAATGTGGAGAGATCCAGAGTATATTGCCACATTAGTCAACATCGCCATAGTTTAATCCGGAACCTGAGTAATGTAAGATCGCTGTAACATCAGCACTTCTTTACAATCCGCCATATGCCTCGTGTTTGATTTACATGTGGGACCGGAAGTGTGTACACGTGCAGTTGGCAGGCTAGCAGCAGCTACTATTAATCTGTATGGAAAGCATATAAATATGTGTTTCTGCCACATGTTAGTTATTTGAATCGGCGCTGGCATTTCGATCATCTGTCCTGCATGGTGGAGTGGAACTGTGAGTAGGTTTGATGAGGCAACAAAGACAGAAGCTCAGTTAAATGAGAACATAAAATGGCCACTTCACTGATTCTTTTTTAAGAAATAAATGATAAAGGTTTATTCAAAGGTCCTAGTGTTTGCAAACTGGAAACACAACTTAGCAATAGCCAGAGTGTTCCAAAGAAGAAATACAAGCTGAGGGTTCTCAGAGGGAAAAGTGCACCTTGAGAACAGTCAGTCCTGCAATAACAGCCTCTGTATTGGTGCGAAATGGCATTCATCTAGGTCAGCGGTCGCCAACTGTGGTCTGTGGACCACTGGTGGTCCATGAGGTCCGAGAGGTTGGTGACCGCTGCTCTCGGTGGCCCGTGGTCTGGATGCAGGAACGTCTTTCCTGAGTCCTTCGGGGTAAGCAGAGGGCTATGTGGAGGTTATGTATCGGCATTGACGCAGGGCTGGACAGCTCAGAAATGTTTAAGTCCCCAGGCTACTTGGAACAAGGATAGAATAGTCGCCTCATGCCTTGTCCTACTGGATTTAGTGATTTAGCAGTTTGACTATAGTGCTCCATTTTGTCTTCACTCTATTCCTCATTTCCTCCCTTTAGAACAGGATTTTTTTTCTCTCTCTGAAAACATCAGAGATCAAATAAAATATGCTGAAGCCACTTGATGCCAAGGTGGCAATGCCTTCATTGGGTTCCTATGTCCCTGGGAGGGGGTATATGGACTAGCAACATGCTTGTTATATGTGAATTTATAGTCAGCTCAATATTTGTGTCCATTGAGACATTATTATTACATATCAGGTTTAGAAACCAGTCTGTCTTGAGGATAGCTCAGCCGGTAGAGGAGATTCCTAGATATCAGGTGATTCTCTCTAATGAAGCTCATTTCTGCCACAGCTCCAAGTGCGCAGACTGATAACCCGTGAGATCCGCACTGACTGATTCTCAGGAATTCGGATCTCGAGGGTGAGGCTTTCTGTGCCTTAAAGATCTTTTTCTACTTCGGGTGTAACTGGTTAAGTTTGTATTTTATTTTAATTTTTAAACTCAGAGGCCCATTTTTGCACTTTTCAAGATCTGGTACATTTTGGGTTTTAGTATTTTTCGTCTCTTCCCCTCCCACCTGGAAACCATGCAGAGGTTGAAATGCCGTTTGTTAATTTCTGGGGTCGGGCCGTTTCCTGGGTCAGGCCTGGAGTTGCTGGGAGTGCCCATCCATGTGGCCTGGTGCCTGGGACCACCAGGGATTTGTTTATAAGTCTCTTCTCTGTAAACCTGGCCCTGCCTGCTGTCCACTTGGGCAAGTTCCCTAAGGGCCCGTGCCTTCCTTCTGGGCCTGTCCTTCCTCTGTCGCCCTCTGCTGTCCAGTCAGGAGAATGCTTCTATTGATTCATTTTGACAGCTTTGGCATTCAGATGGCCTGTCCTCTGACACCAGTGTGAGGCTAGAGACTTTTTTTTTATGTATCTGGAAAATCATGCTAGAAGGTGATTACTATGTTTAACATATAGGATTTTTTTAAATTTACAAAAGATAGAGAATTTGTCCCATAAAGGTTTTTTACTTTTTAAAAGAAGGATTGTTTTATTTGAAGCATATAACTACCTGTGCCCCTCTGTATAAGATATTTTGTGTATTTGGCTAATTCACACCAATTAGTAGGTGGGTCATCATTAAGATATAATTTTGGGTTGAGTCAGAATACTCTGTCAAGAGAAGATTTGGCAGTGCATTATGGGAAAGGGGAACTTATGCTCTGGTTTTGAGAGAAAGTATGTATTGGGTGTGTCAGGAGCCAACCTCTAATTCAAACTCTGCTCTTACCTGCCCTTACTTGTGACCAGCTTACTACTCCTGCCTCAAGACTCATTTTTTAATTTTAAAAAAAATGGATGGTTTGAACTAGATCACCTTTAGGATGACCCCTGTGGCTCTAATTTTATGCAAAGAATGACCTCATAGTGTGTGGAAAAACAAAATTCAACTGAGTAAAATGTGAAGCTCTGATTGGCTGTTAGTCAGTGACTGGTGCATTGGGCAGCACCCCATCTACCAGACAGAAAGGAGCCCCACGGAGCTGAGCACAGAGGGAGACAGGCAGAGGGAGCGGACAGGAAGTTTCACTGTAAAAGCCAGAGTGGCCGTGCCAGGTCACCTCCCTTCCGGGGCAGCAGGGTCTGAGACAGGTTACCTCACTGACCGGGTAATTCCAGATTGACAGGTTTAAGATTCCATTCCTGGGAGAGGCCAAAACTGTAACTAAATTATTAAAGTCTGGCTTTTCTGGTGTGGGACTCAGCGTAAGTGACTCCCTTTGGGGAGAAAAGAGCACATGGTTCTACAGCAGGTGGTGCAAGTGTAAATCCCAGCCCCACCTCTGCTGGCTTTGTGGCCCTGGACAAGTCATCTGAGAAAATGGGAAGACCGCACATGCCGGCACATGACGGAGATAAAATCAGGCAGTGTTTGTGCTAATTTCTGACATAGGACAAATCACTGGTGTTTTATTGATGTTGCCTAATAATACAAGCAACTGACTAGGGGTGGCTTTTTATTTATTTTAAAATAAAAATAAAAAATCTTCAACCTGGACCTACAGTATCTTAATCCCAGT